GTTTGCTTCTCTTTCTCACCTACATTTATTGAGGTAAATCTACAAAAGCCACCATTTTTAGGAGCAGTTATACCAGTTTCAAGAAATATATGTTGTCATGTAACGGACACCATAATCATGATGTAAAATATTTTTGCTACTGGGAAACTGTGTGCCTTTATAGCCTCCTCATCCCTGAAGTGATCTGATTTCTTTTCATAAATTCATTTGTGTTTGGCTTCTTTCACCTAGTATAACACCTTTGAGAATCATCCATATTGTTGTATTTGTCAGGAGTTTATTTTTATTGTTGAGAAGTATCCACTGTTTCAAAGTAATTTGTTTATTGACTTACAAGGACAGATTCTCATACTAAACTATGTCAGATGGTTGAATATGGAATATTTTGTATTGGGGAGTGAACCCAGAGCTACATCTTAGCCTTTTTTCAAATTTTTGGAGACAGTCTTGCTGAGTTGTTAAGTTGCCAAGGCTGTGCTCAAACTTGGAATCCTCCTTCTCCCAGCATACTAGAATTACAGATGTGTGCCACTATCCTTGGCTGAATTTGGAATAATTTTTAAGTGCCTAGTTTATTTGTGAATATTCTTTATAAAGCCTTATAAATGAAGACTTCGATAAAAAATAACCATACCCTAATTATTTATACCATAATTTTTATGGAAATCAAAAGTCTAAATTAAACATCCTTTGAAATAGTTTTGACATTTATAAATTTGAAATTATCTAAAAATATAAGTAACTAAAAGTTTTTATTTTCCTTTTACCTAAATTTCCGGATACTTAATTTTTCCAATTTATACATCTAACTACATGTACTTTAAGACTGATTCATACAGATACACACACATATTTTACCTAAGTATTTGTGAGACAACTGTAGAGTTTTAATCACTTGTCATAGTACAGAGGCATTTTCATATGCATTTGGGGAGACTTACTAAAACAAAGTTGATGTTTTAATTTTTTTCTTTTTTTTTTGGTACCAGGGATAGAACTTGGTTCCTTCAACTTTCAAGGCAGGTGCCAGAACCACTGAACTAAATGCCTGGCCCCTCTGATGTTTTAATATTTAGATCTTTGATCCATTTTGATTTTAGTTTAGTGCATGGTGAGACACATGGGTCTGGTTTCAGTCTTCAGCATGTAGAGAGCCAGTTTTCCCAGCACCACTCATGAAAGAGGCTATCTTTCCTCTAGTGAATGTGTTTGACCCCTTTGCCAAGGATAAGGTGGCTGAGTATGTTGGTGTTGTTTCAGCCTCTTCTAGTCTGTTCCATTGATCCTCAGACCTGTCTGTTTTGTTTTGTTAAAATATTTTTCCAGTACCATGCCGTTTTTATTATAGTAGCTCTGTAGTATAATTTCAAGTCAGGGATTCTGATGCCCCCTGCTTTGTCTTTGTTGCCCAGAATTGTTTTTGCTATTCTAGGTTTCTTCTGGCTCCAAATGAATTTTAGGAATATTTTTTGTTATTCTGTGAGGTATGCTAATGGTAATATGATTAGGAAAGTGTTAAATTTGTATTAACATTTTGGGTAGTATGGTCATTTTCACTGTTGGTTCTTCCTACTGAAGAGAAGGGGATGGCAATCTTCTGATATCATCTTTGATCTCCTTTCTCAGAGAATTGTAATTTTCTATATATGTCTTTTATTTCCTTTGTTATATCGATTCATAAGTATTTCATCTTCTTCAATGCTATTGTGAAAATTGTTTACTAATTTTTCAATGAGTTAGTTATTTGTGTATAGGAATGCTACTGATTTTTGAGTGTTGGCTTTGTATTCAGCTGCATTACTAAATTTGGTTACTAAATCTAGAAATTTTTGGTGTCTTCTATGTAGAGAATCAGAGCTAAATCTCAGAAACAGGCCAAATGCCCATCAATCGAAGCATGGGTAAAAAAGATACGGTTTTCTTATACAATGAAGTATGGCTCAGCCATAAAGAAAAACTTGAGACATTTATAGCTAAATGGATACAGCTTGAGACTATACTCTTAAATGAAATAAACCAGACACATATGTGTGAATATTGCATTGTCTCTCTGGTGTGAGAAAGTGAAAGGGTAAATAAGGACAAAAATGTATAATAGATAATATGATATAAGAAGAAACTCTTCAAAAGGAAAGGGAAACTGTTAAGTGGGGGGATAAAGGAAGGGAAAGGGAAAAGAAGGAAAATATGACAACAAAGCTTTTGTAAATAAAGGGAAGGGTTGAAAGGAGAGGAGGGCATTGGGAGAAAAGGAGGAATCAAGATATTTCATGTAGGGCCAGGGATTTAGCTCAGTGGTTCCACTGCCTGCCTCACAAGTACAAGGATCCAAGTTCGATCCCAGGTACCACCCCCACAAAAAAGATATTTCATGTACAGGTACAAATTCCCTTTGATGAAGGTGATCATTATGTATATTTAAAATGTATGAAAAAAATTTAAAAACTGCTTTCTTAAATAAATATTATTCTTCCAAAAATTAGCAACCCTATTCTTTGCTATACCATTCTATTTATTTACTTACTTATACAAAGGACAAATATTTATTGATTATAGTTTTGGAGACCAGGATACCCAAAATCAGTGTGCCAGTAGGTTTGGAACAACCCTATTTTAGAATAGTAGAACTAGGCAGGTGTAATTAAGTACTGTAATAGGACTGGTACAGATGAAACTGAAAACTCTGAAAACTGGGGAGTTTCATAATTTTAAATATAAGACTTTACATCTATGATTGTGCATGCTAAAATTTCTCAGTGGAGTTCTAGTTAGAATCCTTGGGTTAATACCCAGCTCTGCCATTTAGTAGCGATGTGATCCTGAGCAACTTACTGAAGTTCCTGTTCAAGTGCCCTATCTGTAAAACAGAGATGTTATGGGTTCTCCCACAGAGATACTATAAATGTTTCAAAGACATATAGAATATTTATAAATCCTGGCATATAGTATGCACACAATACATATTATTTTATTTTGTACTCGCAATGTGATAACACTAAATCATATATAATGTAGACTGGGAAAGGTGGTAAACATAATAAAAAAGAAAATACTAATATAGTTATGAATGAATTTCCACTATATTGCCAGTATCATGCTTATATTTTGAAAGGAATTTAGTCACAACATCTCAACAATTTTAATATTATTTCCATTGAACAGGCGAGAGAATTGAGCAACAGATAATTTAATTCAATGGCTAGCAGAAATTAGTGGAGCAGCGAGCAACTCAGTCCTATTTGATTTCACAGTTCATAACTTCTCCATCAAAAAAACTTATATTTAAAAAATTAGTTTTAGCAGGTGACAGCATTTGTTAAAACATTACAACTTAAAATTATGTGATCAACTCGGCTCAAATTTATTCAATAAGTAATCTATTTTCTCATTTTTCTTGTTAATTTTTGGTTAAGTCATAAAACAAGACACAGGTTCATAGTCATACACTGGAAAGGTATGAAATCTTTACAGCATCTAATTTAGATTTCCATTATATCATTAAAGAAGCATCCAGAATAGTGCCACAATGTTGCCTTTAATGACACAGCTAGTCAACAGTCAGCCAGGCCTGAGGTCTCTTTGTGCACAATCCCACATCTCCAGTACTCCCCACTTCTTTTAATACTCAACATCACTAAATATTTTGTTTGAAGTCAGAATTAAAACAATATTTGACAGTTGTGAAATGTTTATTCTGATACTTCTAATTATTTGCACAATAATTCATGACAGATTGCCAAACCGATTTTACACTGTTTCTTAAGGATTGGGGTTTTTCAATTATTTCAAATTTTATACCTTCAGATCTGAAGTTATTTTTCTCAGAGGACTGGGATTTTTCAATTGTTTCAAATTTGAGATCTTCAAGTCTGATTACCATCATCCATTGTTTTAAGCTTGAAAACTCTCTCTTCAGCCCTTGTGAATACCCTGTGCCAGTATGGGCAGGTCCTCCAGATGCCAGCCATACTTGCACTCTAATCCTGTCCAGGATGGTTTGTTGCAATACATTCACTGCAGTGACACCCACACTCCTCAGCAAATGAACTGAGATTATGACCCAATGAGGACAACTGAGGAGCCTGGAAGAATCATGGCTCCTGAAAGTCTTAAGCTGCACTGTGCTGGCTGCTTCAGTGTCCTGAATTGATTCAAAATGTTTAGGTCATGGCCATTTTGACTTTGAGGAAGAGGCAGAAGTTGCATGGAAACAGATCTGGTGACTAAGGTGGATGAGGACACACCGCAATGTTTTTAGGAAGCCACTTTTCCTTCGAGTGGTGCATTCATTGTATTTTCTTTTCTTTTTTGTACCGGGGATCTTACTCAGGACCTCGAATTTGCCAGGCAGGTGCTGTGCCGCTGAGCGAAATCCCCAGCCCTGCATTCATTGTATTTTTTTATCACTAAAGACATTCATAAAAGAGGACTCCAGAACGGCTTTCAGAAATGGCAAGGAGGGTAGGTGTGTTCGGAGCGAGGGAGCGAGCTGGGAAGGAGTCCGGTACCACAGTCATTTTACTTCCCGCATCGTCCGGCATTTCCATCACCGCGCGCTGAGGCTGCCACGACACGACCTTGGGTGTGAGAGAAGTCAAGCGGCAGCACGAAATTACTTTCAAAAATTATACTTAAATGATACATATTTACGCTGGCTACTTCGCCGGAAATCACCCGTGAGATATACAGTATCAGTCACTTGAATAAGAACCCAAGTCGTCAAAATTATCACGGTTAAGATTAGAGCTGGGCGTGGCTGACGAATCTGCACAAGATAATCTTTCTCTTCAAATCGTCTCCTGCAATTGTGATCCCGTATTCTTTTAAGTGTTACTTACTCCTCCATAACGGAATTGTTCAGCTCTACACAGGGTTCAAAGAAGAGAAGTTGCCAAAACTTCCCCTCCCAGTTGAAAGCCAGAACCTCAGCGGGCGGAAGTGACGCACAGTAGCGGGCGGAAGGGGAGGGTCCAAACATGCTGCCTTCCTATTGGGAGGTGTAGCCCGTGTTGCGCTTGCGCGGCCCGTTCAAACTTCGTAGTGCGCGGGGTGGCCTAGTTTTGGAGGGCCGAACTAATGGGCCAGGAACCTCCGAATCTGTCCCCTGCTGGCTCCGCGCTGTCGCCCCGGCCGCTAGACCTTTTCCTGGGGTTTCTGCGTCTCCGTCTGCTGCGAGCCCCGAGCCTCCGTCGGTGCCCCGCCTCCTCGCGCCGTTGCAGGCTTGGGA